GGTTTAAGTCATCAAGTTAGAATCTGAGTGACCATGGGGACTGGAGGCTAAAACATATAAGAAACGGTTGCTGGAATTGGGGATGTCTAGTAGTTTAATGAAGAGAAGGACTAGGGGGGACATGATAGCAGTGTTCCAATATCTCAGGGGCTGCCACAAAGAAGAGGGAGTCAAGCTCCAAAGCGCCTGAAGGCAGGACAAGAAGCAATGTGTGGAAACTGATCAAGGAGAGAAGCAACCTAGAACTAAGGAGAAACTTCCTGACAGTGAGAACAATTCACCAGTGGAACAACCTGCCTCCAGAAGCGGTGAATGCTCCAACACTGGAGGTTTTTAAGAAGAGACTGGACAGCCATTTGTCCGAAATGGTATAGGGTTTCCTGCCTGAGCAGGGGGTTGGACTAGATGACCTCCGAGGTCCCTTCCAACTTTATCGTTATTGTTGTTGTTGTTGTTGTTGTTGTTGTTGTTGTTGTTGTTGTTGTTGTTGTTCTTCTTCTTCTTCTTCTTCTTCTTCTTCTTCTTCTTCTTCTTCTTCTTCTTCTTCTTCTTCTTCTTCTTCTTCTTATTATTATTATTATTATTATTATTATTATTATTATTATTATTATTATTATTATTATGAAAGCCAACTGGGTGACCTTGGGCCAGTCACTCTCTCTCAGCCCAACTCACCTCAAGGGTTGTCGTTGTGGGGAAACCAGGAGTAGGAAGATGTGTTGGGTATGCGTGACAACTGCCTTGCGTTCTTTGCAAAAATAATAAAAGAGAGGACAAATAAAATCAGTAATAATAATAATAATAATGCAAAGAGACACAACGGGATAGGGAAACTTGGCGTGCCAGAATGAAATACTTGGATGAAAGGCATTTTAACGCCTGAACTCAATATTCAGTTGGGGAGAAAGGGGTGGAGATCGGACTATTTTTTGGGAAGACAAGGTTGTTGATTTTTTGTTTGGGGGGGCGGGTTTGGCAATGCCCTTTCAAACCCAGTAAGCCGTGATTTCTGCCCTCCCAACTCCAGCTCAAAGTCTGCAAAGCGAGTCTCTGGCTTCCACTGAGGTTTGGACTGCAAAGCCAAAGCAACTCTGGGACTTGGGAAGAAAGGCTGCTTCGTCTGCCCTGACCCAAAAGAGGAGGAAGAGGAAGAGGAAGAGGAGGAGGAGATGCTGCTGGCCAACAGGTGCCGGCGCCCTGCATCCCGCGGGAGAGGAACCCGCTGCTTCCCCGGGCCGCTAACCCAGCAGGGCCCTCCGTCCGTCCGTCCGTCCGTCCTTCTTCGCTGCAGGGCCTGCAGTAGCGCCAAACGCCCCCTCCCCTCCTCTCCCCTGCCCACCCCACGGACCCTCTTCGCAATGGTACCGTCGGCGGACCTTGATGCGCGGGGTATCACGAGCCGTCGCGCTGACTCGGACGCGCCGCCGGCCGAAACGAAGCCGGTCGCGCGGGACGGAGAAGACTGTCGCGCGACCCGACCGAGCCGACCTCGCGCGCCTCTTTCCTGGCCCGCTCCACTCCCGACGGTCGGCCCGGCCTCCCTCCCCGGCCAGGGAGAGGAGGCGGCGGCGGTGCTGGGTAAGCCCTGCGATCGCCCCCTTTTCGCTTCCCCGGGTCGCTTGGCTCCTTGCCTGCCGCCGCTCTCCAGCGAGGATGCTGCAGCTGCGGGGGAGAAGGCGAGGGCATCCCGCGCCCTCCAGCCTGGAGATCTGGCGAGGCGGCGGCCGGTGCCCAAGCGCCTTGAGGGGGGACGCCGTTTGCTGGATGCTCCGCTGCCCGGGCCGTTCGCTGCTGCCCGGAGAGGGGCGGATGAGCGATGGGTGGCTGGCTGGCTGGCCGGCTGGCTGGGGAAGGCGGGGGGGGGGGACGCATCGGAGGATCCGCCCCGCGTCTTGCCAGCATCGCCAAATGTTGTGAAAAACGAGCGCCTTGGTCGACAGGGTCTCCTACTTACCCATTCCTGAAAGGTGGATCGATGGGGAAGGGGACGGATGGGATGGGAAGAGCAGGATGTCCCGCCAGGGCACGCTGCTTCCGAACTGCCCCCGCCTATGCGGCTTCCTGGGTGGCTATTTTGGGGGGTGGGTGGGGTGTGGGGGGTCGCCTTTAGTTTGAGCTGCAGGGACCTGGGTTGGGGCAACGGCTCAGGTCCACCCCGACCGCGATCCCCCGGGAAATGAGTGTGTGGAATGCAGAAGAGCAACCCTTCCCATCGTCCCCTCCCCAGGGGGCCAAGGTGGGGAGGGGAAGTCGCTTTTCCTAACTCCAGTTGATCATTTGGGGAATGGATCCCTCCTGCAGCAGATGTGCTCGCGCTGCAGGAAACATTCCCCCTTTGTGCAGTGTATTGATTTTGATTTTGATTTTAAATTTGGGTTTGTTTTCTTTCCAAAGGTTCTGGCTTCCTAGAAAGCAGGTCTAAGATGGCAGCCAAGGTGTTTTTTTTCTCTCTCTCTCTCTCTTTTGAGGTTGGTTTCAGGAGATGGACGCAGCCCCTAAGCTAGCTTGTGCCCCTATCTCTGAACTATGAGATTTTGAGCTTTTTAGAATCAGGAACTCTAGTGAGTGAAGTGGCATCGTGTGCCAATCGGTATAGAATCTAGATTCTATACCGATTGGCACACGATGAGGTCATGGAGCTATGTCAGAGTGGACTTAATATTCCGTACCCCCATTCAGACGATGAGAATGCGTTTCCCCCCCCCCCAGGATCGCTCCCAAGTTGCGTCCAGGCTTGTGATTTAACACAGATGCCTTCCTTGGAATCTCCTCTCTTTAAATTCAGCGTCCACACCACTTGTTTGACCCACAACAGGACTTGTTTGCTTTTGATTCAACCATGGGTGTGTTGGGTAAAACGACTGACTATTCATTGTGGTTTATTAAGTCACTTTGAAACAATCTGTGGCTTGTTTCCACTTTGTGCATAGAGAATTACATATACCAACTAGCCCAGGGCTCTTCAAACTTGGCCCTTTTATGACTTGTGGACTTCAACTCCCAGAATTCCTCAGCCTGGCTGAGGAATTCTGGGAGTTGAAGTCCACAAGTCATAAAAGAGTCAAGCGTGAAGAGCCCTGGGCTAGTTGGTATATGTAATTCTCCGTACATTGGATGTCATTAAATAAATCTATTTTCTTTTTAAAAAATTAATTTCGTCTTTCGTCTTGCATGCTTGTTTATTATTTAACAAACCAGGGGATTCGGTTAAGATGCCTGATTTAAAACAAAAAGGACTCAAAGAGACTCGCTTGTTGGCTAACTTCACTTTCTTGTCCCATCTCCTTTCTAAATCCACAGATGACACCGCTTCCCCGTGAGCCAGCTGCAGTTGTATAATCAGTACATTTTAAGAGCAACCATGCCAGATGTGGCTGCCAAAATAAGCATGTTCGAAGAAACTTTAAAAGCTTAAATTAAAAGAGATTAAAAAGAAAAACTAAATCCTGGGAATCTGGATAGGGAAACAGGCACTGCCTGCATAGCTGGTTATAACCTTCATTTGTTGAATAAGGCCCAATACTTCATTCATTAATCTATCAATCATACTTCAGAGTTTCAGGGAATTGATTGGAAGATGGATTTACGTGGCTCTTTTGTGAGCAATGGATATGCTTCCAAACGCAACCTCTTCCTTATCTATTGCTCTGCTGGCTGTCCTTATTTCCTAACTGTGTAAATTTAAAGGTAAAATTAGCCTTTCAACAGTGGTTGCAAATCACCATGGAAAGCTCACATGCAAAAAATCAGGGCTACCCACAGAATATGGTTAAAAAAAAAACCATGATGGTGGTCATGAGTGTCCAATCAACATTCTGCCTTTTTAAAAAATATGTATCAAACACAAAAAATAGACAAAGCTTCAACTGCATCATTGCAGCCATCATACTGACCTTTCTGACCACACCCTGCAGACAACCTGCAAATAATCACAAATGTCCATCAGTTAGTTATGATTGAAGAATTAATGCTGGGTTTGCAGCATTTTTGTTACAAGCACACCCATTGTTGAATTTTTTGGGCATGTTTGTGGGATAAAAGCTATATTTAGGTATGTTGCTCTAAGCTCGCACTTTTTTTTTACTCATCAGGCTATAGATAATTTCTGGCACACTGCTGTCTTCTCTGTAGATGGGTAGTTAATCTTATTATTATGAAAAAAAAATTAAATGTTGCTTCAGGGGAAAGAACTAGAGACAATGGCTTGGTATTGCAAAAATGACTATTTTAGCTAAATAATAGAAAAATGTGATCAAAGAGTAAAAATGGTTCAATGCAGAAATGAAGTGCTTTAGGAAACAGTCTGCCCAAATAGTTGGGAGGGATTTAAGCAGAGTTTGTCTTTCTATAGGAAAAACCATTGTGGCAAGATTATTGCATAGCAGTGAGTCAGGATAGATGACCTCTAAAATCTCTTCTCGTTCTAAAATCAAAAGATTTCAGTATGTTAGAACTGGGGAGGGGAGGGAGAATCACAACTATTAATGCCCTATATATTCTTCAAGACATGTCTTTTTATTCTTATAGAGCTATTCTTGGTTCCCATGAAATGTTATCTCTGAAAGAAAGAAAGAGAAAAAATGTATCCAAAACAGCACGATGGAGAGTTTCTCCTGGAAGAATTCAAAAAAGTGATTATCGGTTTATGACCTTGGTAGAAGTGTAGAGTTTGCTGTTTTCTGAATCAAGGATTCTTTCTGAAGAGAAACAATTTATGGAAGGAGCATCTAGAAGAGAATGTAGGATTGCCCCTGAAAAGACCAATTTACATGGGGCAGAATAGTTTCTTTGCATGAACCCGGCACTGAAATATTAAGTGTGCTCCCCAAATTATTTCTCTTGGTTTCTTTCTTTACAACAATCCTGTGTAAGGCGAGTGATCAGGAATAAGTGATTGATCCAAAGTTACCCAGTGAGTGAGGATTTGAATCTATGCATGCAGCCTAATTCTGACCCAGCTTTAACTTGGTCTCCCTACTCTGGTTATAGAAAGAGCTGAGAACACCCAGTCTTTTGAACTGGCCTGCAAACATATGTGGAAGAGGATACTGTACATCAAGACAGAGGTGACTGGTTTGATTATTATCAGTGCACTCTTGACTTTTTTATATTCTTTGCTACAAATTAGGAATTGGGTTTTCAAATGATGCTAAATAGTAACTCCTAGCAGTTCTCTTTACTGCACATGCTAGCCAGGTCACCTGTGAGTTGCAGTTGGGAATCATCTAAAAGGCCCCAAGTTTGGTGCACCTCAACCGTAATCTGGTTGGATGGCTTCTGATGTTGGGATGCCAATTCTGGGAAGGTTGTAGAGAAAAATCTTGCTTTCTGTGACTATTTTCCATATTTCCATAAAGAGAATAACCAAACAATATTTCTCATTGCAACTGGGCTAAAGTAACAAGTAAAGAAAGGTTGTTTCTATGGATAGACCAAGCCCATTAAATGTTATCCTTGTATAGTTCTGTTAATTCCTTTTTTTTNTGGGATGCCAATTCTGGGAAGGTTGTAGAGAAAAATCTTGCTTTCTGTGACTATTTTCCATATTTCCATAAAGAGAATAACCAAACAATATTTCTCATTGCAACTGGGCTAAAGTAACAAGTAAAGAAAGGTTGTTTCTATGGATAGACCAAGCCCATTAAATGTTATCCTTGTATAGTTCTGTTAATTCCTTTTTTTTCTTTTGGCACAGAAAAGTGGAATATTTTCCTTCTTTCCTCCACTCTTTAATCTTCTCTAGATCAAAGCAAGAGTGAGCTTGATGTGCACAAATAACCGTGCAATTACATCAAATGATCAGAAAAGCATCTATTGAACATGACAACAAGGATCAAGCCCAGTTTGATCGTTTTCTTTTAATAGAATAGAATCTTCATGTTTAAAAAATGTTTAGTAAGGAAAAAAAATTAAGCCCAATAAAATTGTTTTTCAAGACTGTGCTCAAAAAACAGAATTGATGTATCCCATTGGGAACTTTTCAAACTGAGCAGTAAGAGTCGTTTTTTGAGCCAATGTTTAACTCTCTCCAAGGAGGGTTGATATATTAATTGTACTCGGAGTGACACTATATCAGAAGCGTTGTGGGAATGCCAAAGTATGTCTTTATTTTGAGTCATCATCTGTTTCTTGGGAGTGTTGAGATGTTGAAATGTTGAAAACAAAATATTGGTAACAAAGGGGTCACATGGGTGAGTTCTGTCATATTGCTGAGGTTCCAGAAGCAGTCCAAGAATGACGAATAGTAGTACAACGGGATCTCCACATAGTTTAAGAATCATGCGCTCCAACCAGTGCAATCACATTGCTAGATGAGATCATGAAGCTAAGTCAGAGTGAAGGTAATATTTCATAACTTTGCTCAGAATATAAGAATGTTCCCCCCCCCCAGGTGGAAAACATGTTTGAGAAACAAGGTCAAGTATGCAAACGAAAATTTTGAGGAAACTGATCTCAATTATAAACACGACTCTCTTTCTTTCTCACACAAATTTATAATACTTCTTGTCTCACTGTTAGGATTTAGAAATTCATCATCAATAACCTTAATGCGTCAGTCTGTGTGCAGACCTTAATAAATGAATCCAATGGGTAAACAGCGCTGTAAACTTGAATGCACAAACTCAAAATAGTTTCCAGGTCAGCAAATATTTTCTATCTTTTGCTGGAATGGAGAAATTAACCTTGAGAAAAGTGTGGGAAGAAATTCTCCTGGGTAAATCTCATTCATTCCAGTTCCACAGATGCAGGCATTACACAGGAGATGCTCTGTGAATGGCTGTGATTGGGCCATGGGATAACCCAACACTCAGCTCACGCCAAGTCAAAGGACAAGCAAAAAGGCAGGGCCAGAAAAAAAATCAAAGATTAAATGTTTCTGAACACAGACCGATCATGGGTGCTCCACCACTGCAGCTTTTTAAGAAGAGGCTAGACAGCCACTTATCTGAAATGGTATAGGTCAGTGGTGGCGAACCTATGGCACGGGTACCAGAGGCGGCACTCAGAGCCCTCTCTGTGGGCACACACACCGTTGCCCCAGTCCTAGGCCTTCAGCTGGGTTTTATAAAACCTTTTCGCTTTAGGCTTCCACCGCCGTGTGCAAAAAAAAAAAGGTTCAATCAATCAGTCAATTTCAACTTCTCACGGGGAAAAAAAAGATCTTGCAAAGTTGGAATTGATTGATTGAACTTTTTAGTCCCACCTAGTCTGCTGTTACCACCGCAGCCACGCCCACCCTATGGCCATACCCACCCAATGGGCCACACCCACCCGGCACCCAATGATGCATAAGTGGGTTTTGGGTTGCAGTTTGGGCACTCGGTCTCTAAAAGGTTTGCCATCATTGGTATAGGTTCTCCTGCTTGAGCAGGGGGCTGGACTAGAAGACCTCCAAGGTCCCTTCCAGCTCTATTCTATTCTAATGAAAACTTCACGAGAGGCCGCTAATAATCCTTACAGGATTGTTACAAGGATTACAATGAACTAATATATGTGAAGTACTTTTAATAGTTGAAAGCACCAAGCAGATATTAAGATTCTGTATTGTATCATGAATCATATCATGTAAAACATCACCAATAAGCCATTTATGCAATGACTGTAAATCAGGGTTAGTCAACCTTGGCTCTTTTATGACTCGTGGACTTCAACTCCCAGAATTCCTGAGCCAGCATGGCTCAGCTTGGAAACCTCTCCCTTTCCCCTCAGCATGGCTGATTCAGGAATTCTGGGAGTTGAAGTCCACGAGTCATAAAAGAGCCAAGGTTGACTACCCCTGCTGTAAATTATCAGAGAACTGATCATATCTCTTTCTTCCAGGAATCCGGAAGACTGTCTTGTGAATGATTGACAAGTAAACATCAACGGGACGTGATTGAGAGACATGTCAGTGCCATTCCGGAAAGAGCTGGAGAAATACAGAAATATCAACGAAGATGAAATTCTGAACAAACTCTCTGAGGATGAACTCAAACAGCTGGAGAATGTCCTTGATGACCTAGATCCAGAGGTACGTTCTAAACAATGAAACTACATTTCCGATTTTCCAAATTAGGTCCTGAAATGTTTATAACGCCTGAAAGGTGTAAAGATACAAGATAGATTCATGGTTAGTTTTAACTATAGCCACAATGTCTGTCACAGCAAACGTAATCCATTCTATATTCACTTTACAATGCCTTGGTAAGGCCACACTTGGAATACGGCATCCAGTTTTGGTCACCACGATGTAAAAAAGATGCTGAGACTCTAGAAACAGTGCAGAGAAGAGCAACAAAGATGATTAGGGGACTGGAGGCTAAAACATATAAGGAACGGTTGCTGGAATTGGGTATGTCTAGTTTAACGAAGAGAAGGACGAGGGGGGACATGATAGCAGTGATCCAATATCTCAGGGGCTGCCCCAAAGAAGAGGGAGTCAAGCTATTCTCCAAGGCGCCTGAAGGCAGGACGAGAAGCAACAGGTGGAAACTGATCAAGGAGAGAAGGAACTTAGAACTAAGGAGAAACTTCCTGACAGTTAGAACAATTAACCAGTGGAACAACCTGCCTCCAGAAGTGGTGAATGCTCCAACACTGGAAGTTTTTAAGAAGAGACTGGACATCCATTTGTCTGAAATGGTGTAGGGTTCCTGCCTGAGCAGGGGGCTGGACTCGATGACCTCTATTGTCCCTCCCAACTGTATTATTATCATCATCATCATCATCATCATCATCATCATCATCATCATCATCATCATCATCATTATAATGCCCAAATTCACAAGACAAGGATAAACCATCTAAATGGGATGTCTCCAACTCCATCAATGTGGCCTGTGACAATAGACCGTGGAATTTACAATCATTCAGAACAGTGGTTCTTAACCTTTTTGAACGAATCGCCCCCTTGAGCCAATGAGGAAGTTGTCATCGCCCCCCTCCCCCAACATAACCTCTCAGTCACAACTTTGCAATACTGCAGACCTCTTAAAATGTGAAATGAATTTATATAAACTTTCATTTCTCTCCCCCAGAATAAAGTTAATAATTTTGTGGATGTGAGGGCTGGG